TTTATTTAAGTAAAAAAATTAAATGGTCAAATAAGTTAAAAATCCAGCTCAAATGTCAAATCTCTAGCCATAAAAGCAGGACATGGCAATATTTTTTTAATATCTATTATTTTATTTATTAAATTTAAATTTAAAATTTTATTTAAATAATATTTCCACTAAATGTATGACTTTATTTAAGTAAAAAAATTAAATGATTAAATAAGTTAAAAATCCAGTTCAAATGTCAAATCTCTAGCCATAAAAGCATGACATGGCAATATTTTGCCATCCCAGCAGCCAGGCGAGCAAGTCCCAAACGGCTGTTAAGCTAGGCGAGCGATTCTCAAACGGCGGTTAAGTTGGCGTAAGAAGATGGGCTTAATTGCCTTGATCGCAGAGTTTAAGGGCTTACATGCATCAATTAAAGTTTAAGGGTTTAATAGCGATTCTGGGGTTAGTTCATGGGCTTAACTTATGATTTTGCCAAACCAAAAATCCGAATGCCCACCCCTAGACCTCCGTATCGAACATACCCCACATTGTCTTCTAGAATTTTCTGAAGTAAATACGCTTGCACATGCGTAAGCGTAACGTATGGACAGCACCCCACCAAATGTGTACTTTAGCATAAACCCCCTACAAGGACTAATATATACCTCGGCTTATCCGACGCCCCATGCCTATTACATATGTCAGCCCTCGAATTCGTACGCATTTTGTTGATGTCCATCTCAAGTAATAATCGTCCAAACCATCCGCTTCTGACGAAGAGAAAATACGAAGCATTGACGGCAACCTCGAAGGTAAAAGATCTCTTGATTTTTTATCATGGGTTTGTTCTGCAATTGATAATCGTTGGGATTAAGTTTGGATTCAATGTAATTTGTAATTTGTATGGTTCTAGAAAGTTGATTGATTATTTGTTTCTGTTTAATTTTGTATGTTTATGCAACTTGGAACAATTATACTGTAATTCTCGGAAGTTTGATGTATTCTTTTGATAATTTTTGTTATTTTTAGCTGAATTTGGTTTTGTTGAAGTGATATGGTTTTAAGAGCATCTGGGTACTAGGAATTTCGATGCTTTAGGGAATTTGAAGGCCGTAATTAGTAATGGAAGAATTTCGATACGGAGATGGCTTGCTTTGGGCATGAGACTCTAGACATGTTTGCTTTCTTGACAAGGACGAACTTGTAGCCTCCAATTTGGTTCCCCGGATTTCTGCAGCTGTATTTACTTTTATTGTTTAATAGTTGGTTTCTGGGAAGATAGATAACCACGAACTACGAATTTAACTTTCTTTGATATCTATAATTTTCTACCAAAAAAAAAAAAAAAAAAAAGATATCTATAATTGAATTCATGATGTTTTTCTTAGAACATTTTGTCTTGATGTTGCTTAAAAAATTGCCTAAGCAGCTCCAAAACTGGGGTTTCTCATTTTCTGAAACTTAAAAATGCAGCTGAAAATTAGCTGTGTTCTGTTTAAACAGAAATCAATATTTAGACATGGTTTTATTTCGATGTTAACTGGAATTTTTTTCCCTTTTGCTCTCTTCACAAGAGGGAAATTTTAGGGTTTTTTCTGCAGTTGCTTTCTCTATTCTTCTATTTGGGAATAACTGGATTTCATCCAAAGAAATTGCCTGTGCTATACTCAGAATAATTAAAAGAACAGTTATTTTATCTTCTTTTATTTTTTATTTTTTAAAATTTTTGGTGCAGCTCAACATGCAAGAACCAGAAAACACTCTCAATGTCTCAGTCATATGGAGGGGGAGCAAGTACGTTGTGGAAATGAATTCTTGTGCATTTCTTAAAGAGCTAGGAACTGAGCTGCAGAAATTGACTGGTGCCAAGGCAGATACTATGCGGCTGATTGTCCCTAAATTGTCCAATAAAGGCTCAATAATGCTATCTCCTTTCTCTGAAAAGGATTCATGCCTAAGTTTGCAAGAAGCTTCAATTGTTGGTGTATAACTCTTTACTTCTTCTATGAGGCTAAATCATTTCTTACATAATAGCCTATTCAATAAGTTCTGTTTGTTAATGACTAAGTTTCTTTGTTCACCATTCATCCTTAAGATGTTAAAAAAGTGTTGAAATGTAATTTATACTTATGGATATGTTTAATTTTAGATGCATTATACATGCATGCTCTTGATCAATTGATGTAGTTGTTTTAAAAGAATTATGAACAATTAATATGCCAATAGTCTGACTCTGATATTTGTGGAAGTAAAAAACTAAGCAAAGCTTAGAAACTTCTGTGTCTGTTTGGAACCCAATTGCCATTTTTTGTTATCCTACTGCTTCCTTGCTTTTATTTTATGTATCACATTAAGTTGTCTTAGCCTGTAAATTCTTAAATTGTGACTTTAGTTATCATCATAAAGGGAAAGTAGGGATCAGCAAACTTCTTTTACTGAATTTTCATAATTTTTTGCACATCAGAAGACCACTTATTTTTTGTTTCTTCTATTTCAGGGTAAACCAGTCAGAATGATGGGGGTGCCGCAGGATGAAATTGACAGAGTTGCACAAAATGCTAAGGCAGACCTGCGAATAGCTGGATTTGAGGAAGAGGAAATGAGACTGAAGCTACGAATGTCAAATGGTGCTCCTGCTGTGTTGAAACTCCCACAGGGACCTTACATCTTTTGTGATTTCCGCACTCTTCAAATTCCAGGGGTAGAGGTACTTATGCACTGAATGTTGTACTATAGATCAGGCTCTGTTCAGATACCAAGTTTTGACTTTTCACACATTAACTGCATGTGTATGTATAATGGTCTGAGTTGAGGGAGAGGCTCCAATTCATTTAATAAATTTTAATTTCTGTATGCATTGGTGGCTGATACTATATTTTAGTTTTTGAGCTTTAGATTAGAAAATATTTATTGCTCTAAGAGACTCATAGACTTTAGTTTTGTTGTTACTTATCCTGGGGTACTAAGATATAAATATGAAGTGCATTGGGCACTTTAGCTTATAATTCTTTTGTGTGCTCTTTATTAATTTTATTTGAAATTGGAACCTCTTTAGACAGTTTCATGACTAGAAATTGATTGGTTAAATGCCAATTTTGGGGTCCCTCAATTTTAGGGTTTTGCATGGTTTTGGTCCCTCAACTTTTTTGTGCACTTTTTTGGTCCTTCAACCATGAAAAATGCACTTTTTTAGTCCTTTCATCAGCTAGTCCATTAATTTTGTCCATATATGCACATTTTTAGTTCATGAACTTTTATGTTGAGAACTAAGAATGTGCATATTTGAATAGAATTAATAGACTAACCAATGGAAAGAAAAAAAAAGTACATTTTTCATAGTTGAGGGACCAAAAAAGTGCATAAAAAGGTTGAGACAAAAACTGTGCAAAACCCTAAAGTTGAAGGACCCAAATTGGCATTTAACCAGATTGATTTTGCAATTGTTTATTCATCATTGTGATTTTCTTATGTGGACAGTTACACCCTCTGGCTTCAGAGGCACTAAGAAGAATGCATATGCTTGCTGCAGATCCTGGAATTGTTGCCATTATGAATAAGGTAAATAGTTAATTCTAGATGCATGTTTTCCCACCTTACTAATTACATAATCCAAATGTCATCACAATGATATATTTCTTTTGATTGTTACATAAAGCATCGATGGCGTGTACAAATTATGACCGAGATGGCACCAGTTGGCTATGTTGGCATCAGTTCCAAATGCATTCTCGGTTTTAATAAGGTAATGCCTATTTAAGTGCTACAAATAGAAAGAGCAAGTAACATGGGCCTTTTTAACCTTTTGAAATTTAACATATCAAGTTCTTCAACTGTTTCCCTTATTTTATTTTTTCAAGTATTGCTGACCTTTATTTACTTGTGCAGAATCATGGAGAGGAGATATCTCTGCGTCTTCGAACTGATGACTTAAAGGGTTTCAGGAAATATGAAAGCATAAAAAAAACTCTTTTGCATGAACTTGTAAGCTTCATGAACAATGTTTGGTATAGTGATCATTTGGTATTATAGTAATCAATTTGTGGAGATTTTATGCATCAGAAAGTAAAAGAAATAAGTAGTGAATTACTAATTGGGATTTATTTCAGGCTCACATGGTTTACTCTGAACATGATGCAGACTTCCAAGCTCTAAATAAACAGGTGTGTGTGTGTGTGTGCGTGTGTGTGTATTTTTCTCCTCAAATAGAATACACTGGTCTTGTCCTTCAAGTAAATATTATGATATGGTTTTAACAGCCTTATGTTGACATAATACATTCATTCCTGGCAGCTGAATGAAGAAGCAGCTAATTTGGATTGGACAAAATCAAGAGGCCACACCTTAAGTGGAATCAGTCATTCACAACATGAGGAAGACTTCTGTATGGGAGATGGTAGAACTTATTCTCAGAAGCTTGGGGGAAACACACTGAATCAGCTGGAAAGTGCTCGTGCATCATCGGTGGCTGCTGCTTATCATCGTTTAGCCACTGCTGTTGCCAACAATGTAGAAGCATCTAAAGTACATGAAGAACCTGACCCAGATGATTCTGAAATGCATGAGGTACCCTATAGTACCAATCCTGTAGAAAAAGAAAATCTAAATATTCAGGGTCAAAACAGTGCTCAGTTGAAAAGTGATCATGAGCCAGATCTTGATGACCTTTTGAGTAATCAAAACAGTTTAGAACCTGATCCTGATGATTGCTGGCATGGCCTAATTTTGGAACTGAAAGACCACTCAGAATTTATGAGAAGCAGAGTCATGTGCCAGAATGTGACTTCTCTCAATCCAAACCAAGGAACAGGAGCCACTGAAGAACCTGGTCCTGATGATTCAGTAGCCTTTTCCAATTCTGGCACTGTGGCTGAACCTCAACTGATGGAGATTGTAGATAACCAGTCACGTAAGACAATCACTGAACCAGATCCTGATGAAAAAGAAACAAAGCAGAACATTTTGGGATCTCTGGTCATAAGAAGACAAGATCAGGGTCCATATACAACAGTTGGAACTGATCAAGCTCAGTTGAACCAAGCTCATGAAGAACCTGATCCTGATGAATCTGAAGAAAATGAAATTTCACGGGCAGAACCTGATCCTGATGATAATTTGGTGCCCCAACTGGGAATGTCAAGTACGAAAATTGATGAGCCAGATCCAGATGATCAAGAATTAAGGAGGATCCATGACACTGTCACCAGTGTGTGTAGTCACCTGCAAAAGGCCATTGAGATGTTGCAAGCTGAGGTTGATCCCACCGAGTCAACTACTGTCCTGCAAACTCTGTTTAAGATAATTAGGTTCACTTCTAGCTTGACTGTTTCATTCTAATTATTGGTACTTCTCAGTCAGGAGTACTGTATTTCACGGATAATTAGTGAGATGTTGTCCTATTTTACGGATGCACTCGATTACATTCTGCTTGTTGCCTGTATCTGCCTGATGATATTTTCTATTTACACTTTTTTATTATAGTGAAAGCTTGAACAAATCCATTTTTCTTGCAGGAATGTGATTGAACATCCTAATGACATGAAATTCAAGCGACTAAGGAAGGTAGAGGCATTAATGGAACCCCCCCCCCCCCTCCATTCTTTCTGGTTGTGCTTCCTCAGATTAATCATTGATACATTCTCAATTGCGTGAGGTTTTTTACTTTGTCTCTTTTTTCGTTTAATCTCTTTCTACATCTTTGCAGGCTAATCCTGTTATCCAAAGAAATATTGCAAATTACAAAGGTCTGTTTCTTCTGTTTCTTCTCTCTCTTTCTTTTTCTTCTTCTTCTTTTTTTTTTTTTTCCATTTTCTTAATTTTGTTTTGGCAAGCAAAAGGATAAGTAGATAAATGTCCTCTTGGAGTTATTCAAGCCATCTGTCCCCTTCCCTAAAAGCTGAATGCAAGCAAGTAATAGGGAAAGATAAAGATCTCCATGAGATGAATCAATTTCCAAATCAATCTAAGGAATTTCGTTTAAAAATGTTAATCCAACAAACCCCATATAGGATCTAGACTTGGGGGATTACATGGATGTTTTTATTCTTTTGATTCTAACTCTTTTCTATTTGTGATTACAGCTGCCATGAATATACTTCTCTTAGTTGGTTTTAGCGAAGATGTTATTTCAGATGGCATTGGGAAGTCCGAAACTTACCTAGTTATGAAGCGAAATGATCCTGGTCTTTTATGGCTTGCAAAATCCTCTCTTGAAGCATGTATTGCTTACTAGTCTTGAAAGATTAGTGTGTGAAAAACCCGTACAAAATGAAATATATGAAGAGGGAATGAAAATGCATAACCCTGTGTAAAATGTGGAAGTGTTCGATTGAATGTATGAAGATTGTTTCCTTGGTATTGGTATTGGTATTGGTATTGGTATTGGTATTGTATCAGTTTGAGAAATATTTGTAAATAAGAGGAGTTACTTATAGGACGAGTCCTCTAATCCTTCTCTAGGCTTGGTCAAAGCAGAAGACTTGGTTCAGGAAAAAAAAATGTTGATTTTCTAGCATTCCGCTTCATTTCAACATTTATACAGCATTTCTAACATTCTCTAAAATTTTGCCACGTGAATTTAACTTGGCAATAAGGGAAAAACAGCAACCGAATATGCAAATAAACGAGGGGGCCTCAAAACAAGGGCTTAAATTTTAACAAACGACTTAGTAACTTCTACACATTTTGACGTTTGATCTACTATATATTTTTAATTCTATCTATTATTTTTTGAATTTATTTTAGTTTAATCTAGTTTATAAACTTAATTTTCTAACAATAAATTTTACATTTTGAAGCCAAATTGTCTATCTATATCTTATAAACTTTTAGTCCTTAAAATTAAATTTGTTAAAAAACTGGCTTTTATCTCTCAAATCAAGATCCACCGACATGGATCCTGTTACGAAACATAATGGTAATCGTCTTTTTCAATGTAACCATGGTGCTCAAATCTTTCAGCAGGCTATTATGGATGGAGATGCTTTGATTTGGAACCAGTCATCTGCTCAACTTTATATGCGTGGTAAGGATTCCATTTTTAAATCTCTTTCCAATTTGGGTGCTATTTATTTTTCATGAAACTCCTTTTTTTTTAGGGAACTCAATTTTAATTATTTATCTTTTGTTGACTTGAAATATCTTCCCCAAATAATTACATAAAGAAATTTAGAATTGGAATTGAATATGATTATCTCTTCTACTCATTAACTTGGACTCTCGTCCTTGATGTTCTTACAGGGAATAATGCTGGCGGTCATTAGGAACCTAGGGAGAGGTCCCAGGACCTTTTTGTATTCTACTCCCATACAGCCTTCAGCACCATAACTATCATCATCCATTATCATTTATTCAAGGACTACCTGACTACAACACCATCATGTGTCAACAACTAGCAGGCTCACATCATCTTCCAATAAGCTATGTTGCAGGCTCAAAAATTAAATTAAAAATGTTGAAATTAATAAAAACTAAAATATTTTTTTGGCAAGTCAAGGGCAGAAGATACCTTAGATACCCAAGTGCCCAAGTGCTCATTATAAATAAAAATATAAATGGATAAAACTTAAATTTAAAGCTCACAGGGTATAAGTCTAACTCATTTAAAGATATAAACTCCTTTATTTTTCTATTTTCCCCGTAATTGAGATATCTACAAGTTCCAATAATTTCAAATTAATTAACGCTTTTACCACTAGATGTAATTTCTTTCTGTCAAATGTTTTTTTGGCTTAACTTTTTTCAAGTGAAGTTAGTATTTATTAGATATTTGTATTTTATTATAGAGGATGAAATTTTATTAGCAAATATCAAAAGTTACAGATCTGATAATAAAAGAAAATAGAACATTGTAAGACCGTCACCAATTACCGCTTAGTCCTACCACGATCTATTATTTTATTATTAGTCTAAATACCTAAATAAATAGTTTGAGGAGATTGGATACCCCAAAACTATTACTAAGCTCCTAATCAATCTAAGACTATTCTAGTAAAAGTGGAGGATGTATAGGCTTTTGTTTGACAAAATTTCTCATTATTTTAATATTAAATTTTTATATTTTTTATTATTTTAAAAATATATAAAATATTAATTAAAATAAATATTAAATATATTACATATTTTTATATAATTTTAAGATATTAAAAACTCAAAAAATATATAACTACAATTGTAAACCAACATTGTCAAATTAAGCATTAACCTACACCTCCGCTGCAATTGAAAAAACCCCTGCGCCATTAAAAATCAAAATTAAACCCCACCTTTTTTTTTATATATATAAGAAATAGAGATTTATATTAAAATGAAAAGAGATTACAATTGAATCTCCATCTCAGGCCACTATAGCTTAAAGTAAAATCAAAAGCATAACCTACAGCACTAATAATATATTTAAATTATGTCTAGAACAAATATAAACAATTAAGTAAAGGGAGCTATCTGTAACTAGAT